GGCTGCTGCCGCTCTTGCTGCCGCCGTTTGACTGGCCCCTGAGGCCCCTTCTACTTTTGCTGCTGCTGCACCTGCTGCTTCTTCCTCTGCTGCTTCTGCTGCTGCTGCGCCGACGCATGCAGCAGCGAGGCGGCAGCAGGAGTGCAGCAGCGGGTAGAGGCCGCTCTGCTGCTGCAACAGCATCAGGAGCTGCTGCAGCAGCTTCAGAAATACCGAGTCTTGCCTCTTCTGCTGCAGCAGTTGCTGCTGGCGTTTCCGCAGCCCTTGTTGCTGCAGCGGGACAATCAGCAACAGAAGCAAGACTTTGTGGCCCCAAGGCAGCAGCAGCATCAGCTGCTGCTGCTGCTGGACTTGCTGCTGCCGTTGGCGCTGTGGGAACGCTCGCAGCAGCAGCAGCAGCACAAGTTGCTGCTGCAGCAGCCCCGGCGTTGCATGCGCCCAAAGGAGACCAAAGGCGTTTGAGGTCTCTGTCGAGGGCCTCTGCTGCTGCTGCTGCTGCTGGTGGTACTGCTGGTGCTGCAGGTGCTGCTGCAGCTACTGGTGGGGGTTCCGCTGCTGCGGTCATTGCTGCACGCGCTGCCCCTGCTACACCAGCTATTGTGGGAGCTGCTGCTGCTGCGGTTTTCGCAGCTGCTGCTGCTGCTGTTGCTGCTGTTGCTGCTGTTGCTGCTGTTGCTGCTGCAGCAGTACTTTGTCCTGAGCAAGCCACTAATGGGTAAGGCTTTGCTGCGGGCGTCTCATGAGGAGCCCAGAACTCCCTTGCTGCCATTGTTGCTGTTGCCGCTGCTGCGGTTGCTGCTGCTGCTGCTGCTGCTGCTGTTGCTGCTGCTGCATTGATGTGGCGGCCGCTGTACGGTGGCACCGCTGCTGCTGCTGCTACTGCAGCAGCTGCGGAAGGCCCATGCAATTGCTGTTGATGCGAGACGTCAAGCGACGGTCGCAGCAGCAACTGCAGCTGCTGCTGCTGCTGCTGCTGCTGCTGCTTGTCCTCATCCGCCTGTGGGGTGTCTGCGCATACACCGGAAGCTGCTGGTGCTGCTTCCCCCGCTAAAGGAACAGAAGCTGCAGCACGATCTACATGCATGGCTAGGCCTTTTGCTGCAGCCGCAGCAACTGCAGCTGCTGCTGCTGCTGCTGCAGCTGCTCCGCTGCAGGGCTATTCAGCGCGGAAGCCGTTTTCGCTGCTGCTGCTGCTGCTGCCGCCGCCGCCCGCAAGTGCAGCGGTGCTGCTGCAAGCGCAGTATATTTCACTGCTGCCAGCTGCAGCGCTGCTGCTGCCTGCCTGCCTCGTCGCGGCTGCTGCTGCTGCTGCTGCTGAAGGCCAAAAAGCTCGGAGAGCAGGTGCTGTTACTGCAGCAGCTACTGTTGCTGCTGCTGCTGGGGAGCTCCCCCCAGCAGATGCAGTTTTACGCCGGAGATGGCGCATGCACTCTTTCGGGGCGAGCAGCAGCAGCAGCAGCAGCAGCAGCAGCAGACGGTGCAGCAAGAGAATCCCTTGCTGCAGCTGGTTGCTGCTACCCTTTGTGGGGACGCTAGAAAGAAAATAACACCAGGAGCTGCTGCTAATGCTGCAGAAGGTGTACAGTGACAGCGCCCAGCAGCAGCTGCTGCCGTTGCGGCTGTGCCCAGGCAGCAGCAGCAGCAGAAGCTAAGCCGCGATGTTGCTGCTGCTCTGCTGCAGCTAAACTAATAAATAAGAAAGAAGCAACAATCTTGAGGGCGTACAAAGTATGGTTTGGCATTTCTACTAGGCCCCGCTGCAGCGGCTGCAATTGCTGCGGCTACTGGCAGCAACAGCAGCTGCTGCTGCTACAGCAGCTGCTGCTGCTGTTTGTTTATGGAGTTTCTCGCTTTCACACAACGACCACATTGCTCATTTGCCTTTAAGAGACCAGCCTCCTCATCATAGAAGGTTTTGCTGCTATTCTTGCGTCGTTCCTTTGCTGCTGCTGCTGCTGTTGCTGCTTTTGTTGCTGTCCGCGCCCTTGCTGCTGCAACTGCAACCACATTCTTGCTGCTGCTACTTCACTTTTCCTGTAGCTAAACACAAAAGAGCAATAATAGCGTTTTGCTGCTGCGTCGTGTGCTGCTAGAGTTGCTGCTTTCGCACGGTGTGCGCTGCTGCCGCCGCCGCTGCTGCTGCTGCTACACGCACGGCGGCCCCGCAACCAAACAACGGCCTGTCAAGCCAGTAAATTTGCTGCTGCAGCAACAGCAGGAACAGCAAATCCTGAAGCTTCTGCTGCTGCTGTCTACGCTGTGTGGAGCCACTTTAGGCGCAGCAGCAAGGCGGCAGCAGCCCCGCAGGCGGTATAGCAGCAACAAAAGCGGATCCCCTCACTGCAGCAGCAGCAACAGCAGCAGCGAAGGCTGCGGCAGCAGCAGCAGCAGCAGTGCCGCCTACTTCTGCCCCGAAATCACACACGAGGAGCTGCTGCGCTGCTCGGCGCCCCCACAGCAGCAGCAGCAGCAGCTGTCTTCGCAGCTAGCTGCTCTCCTCATTGGCTGTTTCTGCACGTGTGGCTGGCTAGCTAGCCAGCTAGCTAGCTAGCTAGCTAGCTAGCTAGTCCGCTGGACATCCAGCTGCTGCTGCTGCTATCTGCTGCAGCAGTGCTGCTGCGAACGCGTCCCACGTCTAAACCCTAAGCCCTCGGCAGTCTAAACCCTAAACCCTCGGCAGCATAAACCCTACCCTAAACCCTAAACCCTAGTGCTGCGGCTGCCAGCCTACACCCTAGCAGCGGTAAACCCTAAACCCCCGCCCAATGTGCTGCAACCACAAACCCTAGCTGCGCACAAACCCTAAACCCTAGCTCTACACTAAACCCTAGGCGCAACCTAAAGAGCCTAAGCTTCTAAACCCTAGGTAAACCCTAAACCCTAGATAAACCCTAAACCCCAAATAAACCCTAAACCATCAGAACCCGAAGCTCCAGAGTTTGGCACGAGGCGCTGCTGCGGCTTGCGGCATTGCAGCCACGAACTGCAGCAGCAGCAACAGCCGGACCCTAGGCAGCAGTTTGCTGCAGCAGCAGCTGCTGCTGCTGCAGCAAACTGCCTGCAGCAGCGAAGCCCAGCTGCAGCAATTACATGCCGAGCTTGGTGCGCCTCCAGTGGCGCCTCTTGCAGTTGTACCTGCAGCAGCAGCAAACCACAAGACACGCGTCCCGATTCTCCCGCCGCTGCTGCTGCCGCTGCTGCTGCTGCTGCTGCTGCTGCTGCTGGTTTGGGGTGTATGTACACCTCAACCCACTTGATCTTGCAGTCCGTCTTCATCCGCACCCAGTGGGGGATGGGGCGGTTTTGCTTCTGCTTCTTCCCCAGCCGCTTCTTCAGGTTCAAACCCTTGATGGAACCCTGCAGCAGCAGCAGCAGCAGCAGCAAGACTTGCATGCAGGCAGCAGCGGAACAGCAGGGGGCGCGGCGGCGGCGGCAGCTCCAGCAGCAGAGCAAAAGTCCCACAACAGCACAACACGTATTGCAGCGGAGCCCGGGGCTGCGCCTGCTGCTGCTCGGAGGCAGCAGCAACAGCAGCAGCAGCGGCAGCTGCTGCTGCTGCTGCTAACGATGCTGCGGCGGGAAAGCCCTATTATCAGACCCCATCGCTGGGCAGTTGTGCTGCAGCCTCTCTACAGCAGCTGCTGCTGCTCCGCGCTCTCGCGAGCTGCTGCAGCCGCAGCGGCAGAAGCCGTCACAGCTACTTCGGCTGCAGCAGCTGTTGCTGCAGCAGCAGCTGGTGCTGCTGCAACGCGCAGTCGCGGTCCTCGTAGCGAGCCCTTTGCTGCAGCGACTGTGAGGCAGCCTTAAGAATACAGAAAACAAGATATGGAAAGGGTAAGAGCAGCAGCAGCAGCAACAGCAGCAGCAGCAGCAGCAGCAGACGTACCATTGTGTCTCCCCGTCGGCAAAAAGCAGAGCCTGCAGTGTATAGGCACCTCCAGAAACTTAAAAAATAGGAAAGCTTCTTTTTTGCTGCTGCGGGAGCCAATAGCTGCTGCTGCTGCTGCTGCTGCTACGGTGCTGCTCAGCTTGGGGCTTTACCCCACAGGAGTAGCAGTTCAGCGGCGGAGCAGCAGCAGCAGCTCCTGCTGCAGCATGTTGCTGCTGCTGCCGCTGCTGCTACTGCTAATTCTGCTGCCTTCAACTGCAATCGAAATAAGGCTTAATTTGTGCTGCAAATGGGCCCGACGCTGGCAGGCTGTGCTGCTGACATGCTGCAGCTGCTGCTGCCACCTACCGTCCTTGCTGCAGCAGCAGCAGCAGCAGCAGCAGCACTAGCGCAGCTCGGAAAACTCGTAAAAGTATTAGTCTGAAACAAACTTAAAGTTGTATAGGCTCAGTTTTGCTATTCACTGTTGCTCACCGGTTCAGCAGCAACTGCTGCTGTTGCTGCTGCTGCCGCTGCTGCTGTTGCTGCTGCTCCTGGCCCATCGATATGAACGCGGCTGCGCCTCAGCGGCAGCTGCAGCTGCAGCAGCAGCAGCAACCACGAATGCCTTTAGTTCTCTCGCGCTAGATCTTCTTGAAATATGGTGTTGCCTCAGTTCTTTGGAGACACAGAAGAGCAGCAGTAGCAGCAGCAGCAGCAGCAAAGTGTCCTGGCTGGTCCGCGACTGCTGGATCGGTCGGTCTCCGCGCCCGCAGAGCAGCAGCAGCAGGTGCTGCTGCTGCTGCTGCTGCTGCTGAGAAAGCTTAAAAAATAGCTGCTGCTGCTGCTGCTGCTAGTAGTAATAACTCTTTTTGTCCTGCCTACCTCGGGTGTATGCGCATACACCTCAGACTCGACCCTCGTCTGCGCAGCAGCAAGGTCTGCTGGGCAGCAGCAGCAGCAGCAGCACCAGCAGAAGCAGCAGCAGCAGCAGCAGCAGGCTTCGGGCTCTAGCAGCTTTGAAGACAAAAGGACAGCGTTTGCTGCAGCTGCTCGTCTTGCAGCTGCTGGTGCTGCTGCTGTGCTTCGATGACTAGCGGTGCTGCTGCAGCGCTTCACAATGTCCTTCGCAATTTTGCTGCTGCTGCAGCAGCTGCTTCTTCTGCAGCAGTTGCTGCAAAGAGGTGCAGCAACAGGGCCTCACCGCGGTCTTGAGCAACACACTCTCGATGCTGGCAGCTTCCCTTGGGGCAGCAGTAGCAGCAGCAGCAGCAGCAGCAGCAGCAAGCTGCAAGGCCTGCTCCTGCAAGATGCTTCGGCCCTGCAGCTGCAGGCAGCACAAGACGGCGACACTGTGCTGCGCACCCTCGGTGCGTTTAGACGCAGGATCTAGGGTTTAGGGTTTAGGGTTTAGGGTTTAGGGTTTAGGATTTAGGGTTCAGGGTTTAGGGCTACGAAATCCGGTGTTGGGTGGGGGCCAACGTAAAGATAGGGACGAGAAGGCCGGCTAAACCCTAGACCCTAAACCCCAGACCCTAA